ATATTTTAGTTCTTATGCGTAACAACATGTTATTAGTGACGAAAAGGAAGTGCGTCGCGAGGATGGTGACGCAAATCATAGCGTAAGTGAAAAAAACGCGAACGACTCCACAACTCTAGGAAGTACTGCACAAGTTTACGTTAGAGTTGGACAATTATGGTAAATGTACTTTTGATACGTGTGAGTAAGTGTTACGCCTTTTGGTGGGAATATTGTGAACTGAGTACGATGTATACCGTTAAAGAATCTATAGGAACTCGGCATTGGGCAGATGTTATATATGAATACCGTAGGTGTATGTAAGAATCTTGAAATAACGCTAAGTACAAATTTACAGATGTTTGAAGCATCGCAAAGACACTATTATATGCGATTACAAGGCAAACAATCAAAGCTATAATATTAACAATAAAAAAATAATTCGTAGGAACTCGGCATTGGGCAGATGTTATATATGAATACAGTAGGTGTATGTAAGAATCTTGAAATAACGCTAAGTACAAATTTACAGATGTTTGAAGCATCGCAAAGACACTATTATATGGATTACAAGAAAAGCAAACGATGCTATAGTATTAACAATAAAAAATTGAATCAGTTGAAATATAGACACATACAAACACAATCATCTCGTGGCTTGGTTGTTTAACTACTCTGCTAGCAGGACATTTTAACGTGTATATATAAGGGATATCGCGTGGTGAGCGTATGGAGTGCTCGGTCGCGATATGAAGTTACTTCGTCGGTGGAGCCCATCTTAACTGAAAGTTTGTGATCTGGAAAATATAGACAACGCTTCACTGCATTCCGACAGTTGCATCCACGACACTTGAACAACATAATATCTGCGTGACAACATTAGGCGATATAATCTAATTCCAGTTTACAGTCTTTCTTCAGGTTTGTTTATCAGATGCAGCCCAACAGTGATGTCACTACTGTTTGCACACAACGGAATATTTCCATGTAGAGATTTAGTATAACTGATAGACTACGACTAAAGGAAACAATAGACCTTTTCTCAAGTGCTAGTCTTACAGCTAGATAAAGGTCTTAGGCTGAAGGGTTCGCATTGAGTCTTTATTTGTGTTTAGTATTTTATACACTAGACTCAATTACTACTTAGGTGTTTCCCTCACACGTGGGAGTCACAGTGTCATATACCGGTATCCCGCTATATTTCTGATCACTCTATCATCAGGAATATTGGATCCTAGATCCAAAACTCAGTATTTGACAATCCTTGGTTTTGGGTTTAGGATTGGCTTTTCTGATAATCTGGTCCCTGGATGTTACATCCAGTCCTCAAATGGTGCAGCCACTGTATTGTAACTATATCACACCTGGTCACGTGCAGGCCAATCGGAAGTTTTCATAACAGTCAAGAATGTGTTTTGGACACGTAAGTTTGTTGATGTATATTGAAGCGTATACATGTACATCTGATAGTAGATACGATATTATAGTCAAAAGTTACATAAGAAAAACATTTTCTGGTATCGCTTTCGAAGTGACGAGTCTTCAAAAAAAAAAAAGGCTCACCCTACCGAGTTCTTAAAATCTAAGCGTGAATACAACCACACAAATACACAAATTGATAGACCGATTGTTCTCTCTATCTTAAAAAGTGCTTATGTTCCACATTCGATGCAGTGAAGGTAAATACGGTAGATGCCATCTACGTCTCGGGTAAGGTAGTTATAGTCTAAGTTGTACTGTTCCATCCCCCTTACCTTACTGTTTAGAAGTGCAGATATTATCGGACCGGAGATACTCAGTGGTATAGTCTCGCCGATAAGGAATCGATTTCCAGAATGGTGGGCTGCCAAATTAAATTTAATATTATATTTCCTTCTCTACTAATATACTTTAACCGCTTCAACCTACACTCGCGTACACACGTGCATCTGATTTTTTTGACTACCTACGCATAGGGCTTGAGCTTCGATGGTTTGCAGGAAATTTACCCAAAAGGGCACGCAGATTGTTTTGGGGATCGATATTCAGTGGTTCTAATTGCCTGATGCACCTGCATATCATCATTGTTTGACGATTACACAACATCAGCACGAGCTATTTTACATAATCAGTGACGGTGTAGGTATGCATCATCCGGTTGCTCTACTAGCTGAGCTATATATGTCTCACTTTTAAAAAGTAGATTTTCACATGCGGTTGAATACGGAGTATCAAATTTCAGCATTAATTTGCGATTTTACAAACCCGCATTTTGAGCATGCAAAGTTCTACAAGTTTACAATTTTACAGCCTCAATTTTAATATTATATATTCGCTCATTCTTCCGAGATTTATTTCAGTCAAGGGCAATAAAAACATGCAAATGTACAGATTCCGATCTTATATCCATGTTAGATGCTTATGGTCAGATATGGTACGATTTACGTCTCCGGTTGAGACAAGTACTTTCTGGTGTAAACGCACAAAAGGATGCGATAGTCATGAGAATGGATTTGTCAAGCAAGTAGATTAATAAATATATATAGTCTTTCATATATTGCATCGTTTTTGGAACTCTCAATATATATTTAACGCATATACACTCGCATATACGTTTACGATTTGTTTTTTGTTGATCCGGGTCGATTTTTTTCGCGGATCAACATTTCATCGCTTGCCAATCCATCAAGGTTTAAACGAGTAGATTCAAGTACCTTCATACAGATGCACAGTAGACAATGTGCAGCTACGTCTTTCGATGCAGTCTCTGCAGTCGCTTCATTAGCTGAGGCATAGAGGATATTATCAGCAGTGACTAATTTCTTGTATCTACAACAAGCCGCCTATATTGTCAACTTGAGTCACTAGCGTAAAAAATAAAGCATAACCAGTTCACGCAGTCCTTGATGAACGTCATAGCAAGAGTCATCAATGGGGATGTCCCTGTGACCTACAAATCTTCCCCACAACTTGGGACAATCTAAATAGCCTTACTACAGCTATCTTTACCCTTTATAAATTTTACCAATTTTATAACCAAGGGGTTGGACTGGTATATTTTTTTATTTAAATGATTATCCAACGCATGGTCTAAGCGACACAAGAATAAATAATAGGCGGGATCAAGAGCTGGATAAGCAGATAATAGAAAAACGTACACGGCGGAGGGTTCCGTAAGGGCCCTTCAACATTCCCTCCTCTGGGAGAAGTCGTGGGGTTAAAATTAGAGGAGTTTATTTTTACGAAAAAAACGACGTGTGGCCCATTTATTGTTTCGTATAAATGCTTGACAAGCAGTTGACGTTAAATTGGGTTCTCGCATGCTGAGTAGTCGGTCTGTTGACCGGCACACCATGCTACAATGCGAACACGAGCAATCGAACACATGCGTTCCGTTCGCTACAATGATGTCGAGACTTCGAGTTGAGAGTTTCTACCAAAGCTAAAACTATGGTTTATATATGACAAATGAGGTCGACAAGTTATAGAAAGATAAAATACTTTAAACCGATTACAATTGCAGCTTCACAGCAGAGTGATGTATGTGATACGTACAGGTGAATGTACCGCTTCATTTATTAAGTATCAGCGCTTCTGCGAATATGTGCTGCGAAACATTGACAAAAATACCCTACCGGAGGTAAATGGCTTGCCTTCGACAGGTTCTACATACACTATATCGTAGACATTGGGTAGCGACATTGGGTAGCCTCATTTCTACCACCACGTGATACATTTTACTGTACTAGATTCCCGCTCCTTTCCAGTAAATTATACTCAAGGTGTCGAGTGCGCACCAGTCTAGTAACGAATGAAACAGCTACCCTAATCCTATTCATGAGGAAAAATAGCTTCACCTAATAGTGTAGGGATTGATCACTCACTATAAATTATTAGAATTAAAGTACCCCTATTCTTCCGCGATACATAGATCCAGATAAAAGCTCTACATATGGTTACTCCACGATACATGCATGAAAGCCGGCAACTAACGTGTATATCATAGTTTTCTCTGGTGTCGCAAAAGAGACCATAATAATAGCAACATCTCCCTGAATCAGGAACTGACCCCTCACGTAATAAATCGATGTAAGCAAGTGGCACAGATTGTGTTAACAAATTGTAATATTGAAGACGCGAGTCCGATACCCTATCGCAATTTCCAGGTTCTGATAGGTACATGCTACATCTGTTTCGAGGTCTACATGTCGATACACTATATTGTCTGTATTGATCAGAAATAGATGATCAGAAATATAAGTTGTTTTGCGATGTGTCAGTACGCCAGACGATAAAACAAATTGCATGGTCTTCGTCCAACTCGCGAGAAATTCCATGTTAAGTTCTTTTCTAGCATGATTTAGCTTTTTAAGTACACCTGCGTTGACTTACCAAAGGCCAACACGAAGGTGATTGACTCGGGCCTACATGAGCATAATCATAGGATCCTAAACTCCCTATCCAAGTTTACGCACACCTTTAAACATATTCTTGAAGCAATCACTGACATATTCACTGTCGATCTTTCTTTTTGTATTGGGTTTGATAACGAAAAGCAACGAACAAGTCCATTTTTTGGCGCCTCAACACATCGTTCAATACTATATTGGACTGGGGGGGGGGGGGGTGAAAGAAATTTCAAACTATGACCTTCAGTTTTGAAGCAGGAATTGATCACACGAGCAAACAGACGCGCAGTTAACGGATATGCCATCATTCTCGTGAGTTTCGCTTACTTCCTGGATAGGCATATAATTTATTCTCGATCATAGTGGACACACCGGCATGGAGTCGAATATTACAATATGTATTTTTCAATACACTGTTAAGTATTTAGAGTTAAAACGTTGTATCGACAAATAGTTTTCAAGGCTAAAGGTTAGTTTTAGTCTTCAGCAATTTTGCGATATTTTTCTACAGCTGTAGGGAATTGCATACCTACCGAAATTTGTAGGTTCGGGTAGCAATACTAAGATAGACACGTCAGTGTTTCTAATGTCTTCATCCTTTAGATACAAATTTGTAAACGAAAGCGTTTACAATCTCGATTAAGATTTATTGATTACATTAGACCATCGCGATCACTATGTAGGTGCAGAACCGGTTCGTCTTGCTAGAGTGAAACGATTGCAAAGAGTATTGACCGACATTTTAAATTGAATTTCGGACCTTGTTTTCTCATATCCAATCAGCTACATGCCAACGCACAACGCTACTATGAGAGCCCGTATAAGGTCTATTGAACACCACTGGGATGCCCTGTACCACTAGCTACCCGATTAAATTTATAATACACGAGTCAGTTTAAGCTATGGTCTCCATGCTCGACAATAACGGTGTTGGCCATGACAAACGATCTTAGACATCATTGTAGTACAAGAAGAGCAAGTCTCTGACCAGATCGGGCCGGCTTGGTCCGTTGTAAATGTTGGTAAAGGTCTCTCACTGTGAAGCATTACCTATCGCAGCGATTTTTAACGACACAAGCCATCATTCTAGTTGAATAAGGTTTTCATTAGAAGCTTGCGATTTCTCAGAACGCTGGGCGTTTGTATGAGCCAAGTATAGCAGGCCGGAGTACTTATATCACGAGCGATCTGCTCACAGTCAGACTGTGTCATTTCACATTGTTGGACGAGAAGCCCGCAAATTTCCTATTCAAAGAGTGTCGATTCTACTTCTCCTTGTCTCTCACGTATCCCTGGTCCACTAATGCGACTCTAGCCACATTATTGATGTGTTTGAAACGATCCGGGCCCAACAATATCCCGCCGAACCTACAGATTGAAGCAGGTAGTTGCGACGATACAACAAAGTACAATTGAACTCAGTGAGCAACAGCTACGATGCCTGTTCTCGAGTATTACAGATATGTTCGAGAATTTTACAAACACTTGCAATACTTCGGCCAATTGTCATTTGGCCGTAAACTAGACCACATATGCGACTACATATGATTCACGCTATCAAATCTACTATAAAACGCGTACCCACGTTCTTATTCATACATCATGCGAATTCCTTATAATTCCACTGGCGAGTTTTTTCTCCTGACTAAGAAAGTAGGCTTCGGCATTGTGCCAAAAGAAGCAGTGCTATTCACTGAAGCCGCGATAAAAGCGCGGTCATCATGCTCGTCAGCAACGTAAACATACACACAGGAATAGTGTTAATGAATAGTTGCGACACATACCATCGACTAACAACCACAAGTACATCCTTGACGCCCTGCATGTCAAGAAGATGGGCGAGCCGACTGCCAGCGTGCTGTTCACCATCGTCATCACAATCCGCTAGCCACACACCTGATATGCAAAGAATTGTCAAACACTTCACGTCCATGCTTTATCTTCTTGTGATGATTTCACCATCGTGTCCATAACATGGCACGTATAGATGTAATAAGTCTCCGAATGGTTTGATAAAATAGCGGATATGAAACAGATGGGCAAAAGACATTCTCGCACACATGTCGGTACCTTAGGCTAAACTCAGACTCGAGTGCAAAGAATGTAAGCTTGATTAGCCGATATTTTTCAAATAGATTTCATGACCATAGGTACCCAATTCACAAAGTCCTGGCACCCCCGAATTATACATCGGAAACACTATGAGCACAACATACAACTAACCGTACCTTTGCTTTCGTTGTAGATGCGGTATGCGTACATGTTGTGTGTCGCCCGTTGAATCTTGCGACTTTCTAAGAGTTTTCCCATCACCAAGCGCACGTCCTGATTATGAAAGTCAGAGCGTGACCCTGATGAGACATAGCGGGAGTGTGCATGGTTTGATTTCAGTGAACTGGGAGGTAGCTCACAGATCTGCTACACGGGCATGCTTTGACCGGAATCTGTGCACAGTCAACAAAACCTCAAATAAATATATAACTATGCATATACATACATACATACATACATACATACATATACATACACGCACACACACACACACAC